GGAGTTAGGAGAGGCTGGCGGAGGAAGGCTGCGAGTCGGGCGGGATGCAGAAGTTTTTCAAGAGGTGCCGGAGGGACGGGATGGGGGTAGCAGGGCTCGGACGGGGCCCACCTCCGTGGGCGCCTTCCAACCTCAGCCGTTCTGTGATGGTGTCACGGGAAGAGTTGGAGCATTTAACAAAAGTGGGAATTAGGCCACAACGCCGGAGGAAGGGTAGAATTGTTTTTAATGGCACGTATTCACTTTCTGCTTGCTTCTTTCCCCACACAGTCTCTCACAGCCAAACCAAAAGCGTCCAGTCGAGTTCTGGAAAGGAAGCACGTCTCGTTCGCTTTCACGCGGACAAGAGTCTCTCAGCCACGCACCAAGCAAACCACCATCTCTGCCTTCTTCAGCACCCAGACAGGTAACGTGGAACAGCGTGTGCCCCTGTAGGAAAGTAGTTTCAGGCCGTAATAGGAAACCCATCTCGCTTTATTTCTTGGCAGCTTTAGTAGGCAGAAAAGTGCATTTTCTAGTGAAGAGGGTAAAGGTTAAAGGATTTGAAGTCCCGGAGGGGATTTTATTGTGATGGTTAATCTAAACGCAGGCGTATTCTGCAGTGTTAGACTAAAGCGTAAGTGACAGCAGTCACAGCCAGCCTTCACTGGAGAGTGATCTGAACTCTAAATAACGCACCAGGCTTTACTCCCTACAAAACTGGAGCTTTCAGTGGAATGTTGGGAAGCCTGGCTCAGCCCGAGCGCCGATACAAACCGTCCAGGTGGCAAAACGTCCAGTTCTGGGTCGCCCGATGGTTATCACGTAAAGGACAGTCCAGTCGGGAACGCCTCTTCGGCTGGGGCAGGGTGCGGTCTGGGCAGGAGCACCAAGCCTGGCGGTGTCCTGCGGGCAGCTCTCCCTGCCCGGGGAAGGGGCAGCGGCCAGGGCGTTACGTGCCAGGTTTGTTCTGAACGACAGCAGCCCTAAACTGTCAGTTAAATGCCCTTGGAAGAACGTTACAGCTGGAAGTGAAAATGAATGTTACTTGGTTCAAACAACCTCCCTGGCAGGGGAATCGGCGGGAGGTGTGCGAGGAAAGCTTTTTATGAAGGGTTGGACAAAGCCTTTTCTAAAGAATGCAACGTTTAATCCTAACTGAACCAATGAAGGAGTCGCAGGGGACTGCAATATTTAAGCTGATTAAGCCAGCTCGCAGCTTCTGTGCTTTTGAGGCTGCGTTTGTGCTCTGGAATGCAAGAAACTGGGATTTGTCCGTGGGTCTCAAATTAACGAATATGGAGAGAAATGAAATGGATGCGGAAACCAGCAGTGTAGGGTTGCGTAGTTGTTTGTGTATTGTCAGTTGTGTAATGGCTAGTTCATCAACGCTGAACTAGTTCAGCAATAAGCAGATGGAAGCGTTACATAAACTGTACAATTTAATTATTTGACAGAATTTTTGGAGGAAGCGTTACATAAACCGTACAATTTAATTATTTGACAGAATTTTTGTGTTGTGACAGGGCCGTTGATGGTTTTTGCTTTGGATTCATTATTCCTACTCCTCTTGAACGTGTTGTGTGCTTTCCTCTCTTTTTTCATTTGATTCCCTCCGTTGATTGCATTCACTTATTCACGGCGTTTGGATTCATTGAACGCTGCCGCTGTTCATCCAGAGGTCTGCAGGATTTAAGATGCTGGAGTATCTCTTACTTGTATTTTTTTTTTCTTTTAGCACGTCCTGAATCGAGGATGAGCTCCATTACGTTGAGCAAGTTATATTAGATTTTATATTAAATGGTTTCAGAAGCAAATGTGGGTCTTGATGCCTTGATCAGGCGATGAGGGCAAGCTGTAGAAGTTTCACTGTGGGGTTTTGTGGGGTTTTTTTGGGTAACTCTTGAGCTGCTGCTTTTAAAGGGAGAGGAGGAAGGCAGAGAAGCCGAAGACTGGAGCAGCCGGAGATGCAGCTCTGGCATCTCACTTGAGGGAAGCTTACTTTTTTGAAGTACTCCAAGGTTTTAGGCTGCTGTTCCACCACAGCCTCAGCAGCTGTGCGTGCCAGCTCTGGCTTTATCCAATTCCGTGTTGTTTTCAGGTGAAAAAGACAAAGAAAACTCCAGGCCATCTCCTTTCATCCCGAATAAAGACTGTAAAGAAAAAGGTGTTTCTTTGGCTGCTTCCCCCGTGAAGATCTTGGCTTTGCCGCAGGTGGAGAAAGCCCGGACACAATCCTTCAGAGCTGCGGAGGAGACGGCGCAGGTTACACCCCGGCGTCGTGCACTGAAAGCACCGGCCTCGCCGACGCCTTTGCCGGACTCTTCGTTGTTACAAGCGGAGTCCCACAGCAAGAGTGAAGCCTCCTGCGGGGGGGGAGAGGATTGCCGCTTCTTCAGCTTCACTCAGGATTCAGAAGGCAACCGGATCATCGCTCACAGAAACGAGTCCGATTTCTTTGCTGGAGAAACGGTTTCAGCAAGCGGCAGCGTAACGTCAGACTGCGGGATAAACAAACGGGCGGGCCGGCCGCTCCCAGAGGAGGCCAAGACCGGACTTGATTTCCAACCAAGACTTGGTGCAAACCAGACTAAGGAACCACACCGCTCGAGTAGCGTTAATTCTTTATTTGATTTCTCTGAGACCGAGAATATAAATCCTACTATAATGAGAGGACATAAAGCTGCTGGCTTTTATTCATCTCCACAACGACCGGCTAGAGCACAGCCTCTGAGAGAGTGCAGCCAGAACGCCGGTGCTGGTTCAGCCGAGGAGGGATGGGGCAGCAAGACGGGACCGAGCAGTCCCTGGGGGCAGCTGTTCACCCAGGATTCGGAGGGGAACAGAGTGATCGCTCACCGCTGCCAGAACATCCCGTCTCCTCGCAAGGACGACGGCAGCTCTTGCAGGCAGCTGCCCGACTCCCCAGACAAGGGCCATTCCAGCGATGCTGCAAACAGGAGCTTGAGCAAACCGGGGGAGCTGTGGTTAGATGTGTGCTATGATTTGCTGTTCACGCAGGATTCGGAAGGGAACAGAGTGATTAAACACTGATAAGTGACCTTAAATGAGTTGCCTAATGACCTCTTGTGAAGCCTCAGGAAAGCGTTTTTTGTAAGAAAGCAGTCAGAATTAGGTAAGTGTACCCGTTGTTTCTAGATGCGCGGCCTAGCCAGCATATGCAGTAGAGCCATGCAACAGACAGGACCTCTTTGTTCTCTGAAATTTTGCTTTAATAAAAATAGAATTTTGAAGGAGTACGTTTATAATGGTTTGATTGTTTCAATCGCGATTACAGCCTGTGTGGCCAAGGCCTGGCGTTCGTTAGTATTACTGGTGTTTACGTAGCACGCTGCTCTTCAGCCTGAAAGCCCGCTGCTAACATCTCTGTATTTCTTCGGATCCTGAAAGTCCACGTTTAAAGGATCTCTGGGCTCAGCTCAGGAACCAAACCACAGCAGCTACTTCACGTTAGCTGCCTCGAGGAAGTGCTAGGCTGGGGCACATTCTGCTTATTTCAGGACTGCGGTTGTGCCAGCTGGTGCGTGTGGCAGTAAGGGGGGGGGTTCACGCTTTTCAGCTTGCGCGCCCGTAACTGTGAAAGATGCACCTCTGCCAGCTGCAGGCGAGAGCGCAGCACTTAACTGCTGGTGCCAGACTTACCAGAGGTTTAAAGCGAGGAAGACCGTGACAAAGAGGAGGAGTTGTAAGTCTGGACTGTAATCCTGACGCTGGACTCGCAGCTCTTTCACAGGCGGGGACGCACCTAGACGGAGCGGGGGGGGCCCGCGGGGGCTCGCAGCCGCAGCTCGACGCCGTCAGCCTGGCCCCGGTGGGGTGAAAAGCGGAGCAGCGAGCGCTCCGGGCTGGAGTAAGAGCTGGTCAGTGGTGGTTTAACTGCGCGTGGCAGCTGCCAGGTCTCGCTAACAGCAGTGGTACTTCCTGTACGCTGCTTGTAGGGCTTGTTCAACATAATCCCCCGCTTTTGGATGCGCAGCGTTTTGGGTGGGCGTGCTTTAGATTTTATCTGTTTTGAAGTGCAGGGACCAGCTGCTCAAAAACCCCAGGGGTCAGGAGCAGCAGACAGCAGAGTCCATCTGTGACCGTGATCGCGCTCCAGAACAGCCGCCTGCTTTGTCAGCAGCACTTTTTAACCTTTTGGTTTTTTTTTTTTTGAATGTGGACTATGTCTTTAACACTGTAAGTGTTGCCATTGAAGCTGTCTTTACCTTCCCATTGGGCCAGAATACTAAAATAGACCACACTGGAGTTATGTCATAGCCCAGAAGCTAATCGCTCTGATACGCTCTCATATCCCGCCTGCGCATGGAGCACGCGTCCAGGGACAGGGACTCTTGGTTGCAGCTCCATCTTCTCCGTAGGCAGGTGTATTCCCACCAAATCGTTATGCAGAGGAGCCTTGGTGGGACCGAGGGGGAACGATCGCGTCGTCCAGTGGCTCTCGGTGCCCCTCTGAGAGGGGAAGAGCTGTGGCAACTCCCTCTAAAACTGATTAAGTCGTAGATGCTATTTCTGCTCTCGCTCGCTGGGTGGCCAGAGGCAACACAAGCCTCCTCTCTCACTTTTAAGGTGGGGATGATGGTTTAATTTTTCAAGGGCTGAGGGCCTGGTGGATTAAGAAAATCCTTGGCATCTGACTACATTCATCTGCAGCAGCTGAAATTCCACACAAACCCCCCCCCAGCCTCCCCGAGATACAAGCACCACTGCTGCCATGTTTGGACATACGCGCATTAATAACATCAAGGACAACCATTGTCTTATTAAGGCTCCATTTTATAGAAAGGAGAAAAAACCCCATACTTTAAATACAGCCATGAGGAACACTGCAGAGAACGTGTAGCTGAAGGAAACCTCTTCAGTTAGTGAGAGCTGTAGCCACAGACAATGCCAAGTTCCTTCTTCCCCTTTCTCAGATGACAGCTCTTGTGGCGGGTGCTCGGTTCTTAGCATCGGTGGTTCAATAAATAGACCTTTTGAATGCTAAATAAAATACATTATCTGAATACAAGGACCATTCATGAAACATTAAATTACTGGCGCGAAATTAAGGCCATTCTGTCATGCAACGGCGGGGATAATTTGTGAGTTAAGGAATACCCAGGGCAGCATCCCTTAGACGTGACTGAGCGCTTTGATCATTGACTGCAGCTTCATCCTGCCGTCGGGTCAGACAGTTACCGGGAAGACGCCTTTTACCCCCGTGATTCAACAACCTCCTCAACACTGAAGACCTGGAAGCGTTCATGAGCTTATTCTCAGCAGCTCTGTGCCGTACTCGGAACAGAGAAAGACGGGATGTTTGACATCCCTTTATACTGGAAATGGTAACTAGTTATATTGTAACAAGGACGTTATCAGTTAATGCTTAATTTGAACCTAAGGAAAACTGTAGGTAGAAAGAACGTCATCCAGCAGCACTCACTGCACCCTTCAGAAGATCCTTATCAATAACCAACATCAAAATACAGGTGGAAAAGAATTTCCATCTTCTTAAAAAGTTTTTTCTTAAATATAACAACAAACACATGGAAAACACATCAAATCCGTAGGGTCTTTCCTAAGTAAGTGTCCAGTGCAGAAACCATTTCTGATTAATAAAAGAGGCAAAAGGCTCAATCCTTAGGAAGGCAGCTACTGTGGAGAAAATTTTGGGAGCGTAACACTTTTGCTTACGGACTTTAACGACAGTAACATCATTTCTCCTTCAGGGCCAGATCTTCATCCTTGAGGGCAAATTTTCTTCTCAGAACTTCTGCTATAAGAACGGCAGGGTCTTCCTCCTTCATTGAAGTTCGGGTTCTACATCAGGACAAAAGCACAGTGCGTTAGTACAGAGGAGTGCCAAAATCGATGGTTTACAGCTCTGGTTAGAGCCTTTTCAGTATTCTCCTGCAGCCTTTATCATCGGCTTTTGTCGCAAGTCGGGGAGGTGCAGAACCACCACCACAAACCAACAAAAAGTAGCTAAAAATTCAGACCTTTCATGGCGGCTTGGAAAACCTGGAGCTCATTTTGTGGGTCAAGGGGTATCCCGAAAATCTCAGCATCAAAGCTCTTTATAATTTTTATTCAACTGTGTTAATAACAAGTAAAATAAAACTTCATTAATTACAGCCTACGTCCCCTCAATATAAATCTACAAGTGGTGTTTGAGTTGAAGTCCTGGAACTACTTTTTTTTTCCCCTCATGAATTTTGCTATACAATGGCTATATGCTTTCATATTTAAATATGGGTAATGACAGGTATTTTAAAGGAGGGCTGGTATACATTTCCCTCCACTTAGCTACTGCACGTGAGTTTTTCTGCAGCATTCTATTATCGAAGCATCCTGCCTCGTTCAGACAAGCGGTTCACGTTACCAGTGTTAGCGAGCTTATTTTACAGGAAGCCAAAACCCAGTTCTTTTTCCTCAGCTATCATGAATTACTCACTACGGTTTTGTTTAGAACCTGCAATAATAATTTCAGAGCTTAATTTTTTTTTTTTTTTTTAATAGCTGAAGTCCTCCCTTGGGCAGAAAACATTATGGGTGTTTTAAACATTCCTAAAAGAAAAAAAATCCCCCTGAAGTATTTCCACATGCGTTTGGGAGGGGCTTGTTCTCAAATTAACAGCGAAGGCTTTTAGTGGGCCGTGTAAGATGCCACTGAGCTGCTCACGGGTAACCCTCAGCGCTATGTCAGATTTCTCTGATGCAAGTTCTGAATTTACAGTTGCATAAACGCATCGCTATTTAGAAGATGATTCTGTAGCCAGAAGCATGCCTTTGAGTTCATCCAGACAGAACTGTTCCTTCTGAAAAGGGTGCAGAGAAAGATCAGAGTACGGGGTCCGGAGCCCTCCCCAAACCCGTCCTTCCACGCGGGCAAACCTGAGAATTCAGAGTTACCCAAGTACCTGTCAGCTGCCTCAGAAGAGGGACGGGGGGGAAACCGAAGCAGCCAGAGGAGGAGGCGACACTAACAGCGGTGAGGAGAGACAGCGCCGACACAGCCTCGAGCTGTGCCAATCACAGGGAAAAGCTCTCCCAGGATGAGTGAAGAGACAGATAACCCACAGCGGGGTGAGAAAAGGAACATCTCCTACCAAGGGGTACAGTGTCCTACAGCGAGGCACAACCAGCAGCAGACCGCGGAGCACCAGCATTCAACTTCAGTGGCTCAGCCCTTTGTAGCCACTCGAAGGGCCAAAGAAATAATCATGGCAAAATCACGTCGCTCAGCCCCGTAACAGTAGTACTTACAAGTGAAAGTGTACTCACAGTCCCAGCAGCTCCTCACGCTACCTGTCTTTAACCCCACACTGAGCGAAGGGCCCAGCAGGCACACCACTCAGCCACTCCCCTCGCAGAGGGCATCACAGACACTTTCACAGGCTCTATTTCACATTTGTTGAAACACGCACATTCCTGCAAGCGTTTCTCACTCATTCCTGAAGCTTCCAAGGTTGTGTTTAAGCACCAAGTCCTAAATAGGAGCATCAGAGAAGCATCTATGTAGTTATCTCATTAAGCATCATTTGGTACCTTCATCCACTTAAAGAGTACACGATCCTCTTCGGTGTCACGAGCGCTGCACACCTACACTCGCACAACTGCTCTGCGTAACCTAACGGCACGTCCGCAAGGTGAGCGCAGCTGTAGAAGCATCGGGCTGCTCACACAACTGCATCGACACTAGAGGATTGTGTCTAGGAATTAGAGCTCATGAAGTAATGAACATTAGTGAATTACTGAATGTAATTTTTCAACTATCTGTGATCCTTCAAACAGCTTTAATTAAGCTGTAATAACCGTATCCTAAAACGTCGCTGTTGCATGTAGGAGGCAAGTTAGAGGCTGAGATAGGGAAACAGATGAGAGGAAAACGGTTCGGCTCCAGCAAGAAACAGACTCAAGCTTTTCTATTAAAGTGTTCTTAGCCTTGACGCAAGCAGCAGCAGCAGAAGAAGCAAGTGTGACCCAGCTCCCGGCTAATCAGTCAAGCCCTCACAAGGGGAGAAAGGGGTCCCGGCGATCCAGTTCCTTTGCCCACTGTACCCCAGAGAGGAGGGCAGCTATCCCCTTCCCCCCAAGTATTCCACAGTACAAAATCCTTGCTCTCCCCCCATCTCCTGTAACGTTAAAAAGAATCAACGCTGTTGGTAAATCCTTTCTTTGTGCGCAAGCCATCCCTCCCTCCCGCTCATTCACACAGCTTCTCTCCCAGGGTAACAGCGAGATCAAACACCTTCATCCATTATTAGTTGTTCTCATACATTCCATCGAGGAAATGGAAGTCAAGTTGTGACCCATTATATTGCAACGTTCCCCGTCACCTACACGCTGCTTTTCACAGCCCCCCCCCAGTCAGCACCTGGCTCCTCGTGGTTCGGCCAGTGCCGGCAGGAGCCTTGTTGGCGTATCCAGGCGTGGCTAGGAAATGCCTCGGATTTCCCTACCATAATCTGTATTTGTACAAGGTTTTGGGTTTTTTCCCCTGAATAATGCACGTTTCCCTATCTTCATCTGGCACAGACGGTGGCAGTTTTCTTACCCTGAAAAGTCTGCTTCCATAGAAGGCTGACGTACCAGTCTGCGCTAATTAGGAGATCGATAATTACATTGTTACACGTGAATGCTTAGTCCTAGGGGTACACAGGTTTCTGATCAAGTTAAAACATGACACGTCACAACGCGAAGCATCTGCAAGCTTTTCTGGATTTAACAGAGCCACTGAATGCCCGTTAGAATGGCACAGTTATGGTCTTAACAGGGAAGTTACCTCAAGCCCAACCCAAACCTCTGCCGAGCCAACGTGGCCGAGTCGCAGGCACAGCAGGTGTTTTTCTTGAGAATTCTCTCCCCCTTTGACTAACAATGCAGAACTATTTTTGGATGCCCAAGGCACTGCTTTACAACAGACGGGAAGAAAGAAGAGGAGCACTTCATCTGCGGTCCACAAATTCTACTCGCCCCCAAGAAAGATTACGGGCATTTATATAAAGCAAGTGAGCATTTAAGCTTTGAGTAATACTTAACACTGAGGAAAACAAGAGCAAAAGGGTATGCTGTGTGAATTACGGATGTGTAATACCGTACTGACATTCTGGATGCAAGCTGAACATATTTCTCTCATTTGACTATATAATTTTTTCAGTGCTGAGAATTTAATTTCTTTTAAACTGAATTTGGCATAGAAATTGCGAACAGCCATCACACAACGTGTTATTTTTGGCCAGGAATCCTACTCACACCACATAATGGCTGGATAGATCTTCAGGCTGAAAAATGTGGAAACTGAACTTTATCGCTGTGATTTCACACGGAAAACGGAGGCAGCACAGCCAACATTGAAGAAGCTGCTTTATCAGCCGGGCAGAGTCCTGTCTCGGCCATGCAGCAGCTGGCATGTCAGCAGCTTGAGGCGCTCTCATGATCAATGTGTAAACTCATCACGAGACAAGTGAAAACTCACTCTGCCCACGCTCAGAGCTGGGCCAGATGCAAAAGCTGAGAAGCTGAAAAGCTCCGCGCGTTAATTCCTGCATGTGCCATGCCGGGAAAAGCTGCCGAGCTTCCCAACCGCTTGGGTCTGCAAGATGGTCTAAGCACCAGCACCCGGAACCACTGCAGGCAGAGGGAGCAGCGCGACCCTCGCTCTGACGGTTGCCAATACCTACGGTTCTGGTTTTCATCTGGGCAAACGCAAGCTTTTTTTCAGGTGAACAAGCTGAAGCAGCCAAACATTGTGCTAATCGGTTTAAGTTCCCCTCCATTGCTTTCTATCCAGGCAGGTAAGCCATCATTAACCGCCCCCCCCCCCCCCCCCCCCCCCTCGGTTTTATTTGCAACACGGAGCGTTTCCAAACTAGATCATCTCTTACAATAAGAGAAATACCCCGAAACATTAAGTGTTAGCAAGTTCTGCTATAAACAGGTATTTCCCCCCTGTGAATCATGAATATAAAGCAGCACCAACAAGCAGTGAATGCAACGTCCAGTGTCTGCAATGATTTGACAGACAAAAAAAAGCGATAAAATAAAATCAAGAGAGTTCAGGAAGCACTTACAAGTCTTTGCTCTGCTTCATCCTATGAATGTCTTTAAGAATGCCCATCATATCTGCAAAACTGCTGGCCTTTGAAAGAGACACAGAATCTTCCTCGTCAGGATCCTTTGGTTCTGGTTTACAACACTCGGAGGTTGCAGAACAAAGCATGGAGACTGACGGGAGCTCGGGGCTTTCGAGTTCTGCCTCCTCCTCTGTGATATCGCTAATGACAAAGGAAGTTGTAGATTGGAAAGAGGGTCCAAAACAGGGTAAAGGAGAAGATGCGTTTGAACTTCCTGGAGATAATAAATCTGGTGTTAATGAAGCAGAAGCTGAAAAAGAAAACAATATAGATGGATAGATAAACTAACACCAAACCATGCAGGTATTTTTTTTCCCCCCAAAACAACAGAATATAAATCAAGAGGCATCACCAGCCAGCCTCCCCCATGCTATGAGAAAACAAACTCATCATATTCTCTGTTACCCTCCATGTCCGCTCCGCTTCCTACGACACCACGTTGCAACACGAGACCTTCTCCAGTACCTTTTTTCCCACCAACCCCCGTATGTGTCTCCGTTCCTGTCGTGCCCATCACCGTATCACCCCTCCAGTTCAAACGCTGCGCCCCGTCCCTGCAGAAGTCAGGTAATGTTTACTTTTTCTGTTTTTACAGATAAGAAATGGAGGAACAGAGATTTAGCTTCTGCTCAGGGTCACAGAGGGAGCCTGTGTCAGAATGTAGGTCTTAATTGTCTTAACTGTTCTCCTCTTTTTCTTCATCGCCTTGAGAACTGCTTGCCTTTCTTTTCCTTTCAGGCTCCTTCCCTCATAACCATTACGCCTGGTGAGAATGCAGAGCTGGTTCAGGAGCTCCGGCATTTTACCCTAGACGGTCACAGCAACTCACTCTGCGACTGCAGGCATTTCGACCTGTTTTGCTTTCCACCACCGTCTGTAAAATGCGAATAGCATCCACCTATTCCACAGGGAAGATGGGATTTATTTGTTCACGCTTTAAAATGCAGCGAGGATAAGAACAGCTATATAAATTCTGAGTGTTATTAAGTGAAAATGAGTTAGAGATTTCCAGTGTAAAACACTAAGGGAAAACAACCAAAAACCCAGACACATGCTTAGTGCACACCTCCTCGAAAGAACCTTCCTGTATTGAAAACAAACTGTACCTTAAAGCACTAATGCCCTTGGCCTCAAGAGTAAACCTGTAGATAGTTATCAATTTCCAATTAAGGGATTTCTCTAACAGTGTATAATAAAGCAGATTGCACAATATTTCTCTTCTGACATCAATCTTTCCAAAATAAGCCTGCTAAATAGTTATCTCCTTCATCAGATTACCGAGCTACAGCTAGGCCCTAAATCACGGTTCCCCATTATTGACTTAGAGGACGTGAAGTCAATAAGAACTCTTCTCAAGTGCCAGCTGATAACAACCAGGCGCACTGCTGAGTAGAGAGGGAGAAAAAAAGGTATTAAAGGATTAAATCATTTTTCTCCCATCTGGGTCTCTAATTTTCCTCGTTATTACTCTCCCTGAATTAAAACGGACTTTTCTAGCACGCAGCTTCAGCAACTGTAGAGCTGAGACAGAACTTAGAAGGAAAAAATCACCCAATTTCCCCTGCTCTTTATTTCAGTTCGGTTGTTCCTCTGATCTTGCATAAAGAAGAAAGAGGACACACGCAGCCTCTCTGAAGGGGACATCTGCGATGCCTTGTTTTACGCTTATTCCCTGCAGAGTCGAGGGTAACGTGGCTCCCTCACCCCCAGAGCGGCTTCATTTTACCATGCTGCTGTAAGAGTCGAGGCGTGTGGCGTACAGGATCCCGTGTACCGTGACAGGACACACCAGCACGTGCATTATCTCACAGCAGCCCTTTACCATGGAAGTGAAGAAATCTCCCATCTCATCTAAATACAACTTCACGTGCTAAAAACATCATATATATTCTTATGTGGTGGCATATATATTTACACTATTGATATCAAATAAATTCTTAGAGTCCACTGACCATCACACAGAACTGAAAAAGAACCCCAAATCTCTCATGCAGAAACCAGCATTTCACCTAAATCAAGCACCACAACTGTGTTTCATGTTCAAATGCGTTTACGGCTCATGGATAGCTGGACTAAATATAAGCAGTCTAAGCTGCAAGTCTAAGCAGTATAAGCTGCAAGTCCCTCGGGGCTACAATAATCAGACAACCACGTCGTCTTTCGCAGATCATGAGAGATTTGGTCTCGTGCACACCCTACGCAGTGCAGCGCAAAGTAGCAATCTGGGAATTAAAAATAAATATTTGCTTTCAGATGTAGGATAAGGAAGGTTTCGTCAGCCACTATTGCCCATCATGAACAGGAACTAACCCGCCTGGTATCATTTCAAGTGTGGCACAATCCTGTTTTGTCTTTTTTTTTTTTAATGGGAAGAATTATAGGTCCTCCTTTTCCTCTGAAAGCAGCCATAATACAGCTGTCATCTTGGTTATTGGCAAAAGTATTCTGCGTACAAGAAACGCAGCTTTTAAGAAAAACTGTCTTCAAGAAGGACTAAACTCCTTTAGTTTGCAAAACTGTTCAGTGTTTTTGAGTTGGGAGATCAACAACTCTGCCTTCTGAACACTCCATAAATAGATACCACCAAGGTGTTTCTACCTTACTAGTTTCCACACTCTAAACCAGCCACTGCTGCAGCAAGCCTTGTAGGACCACTGGGATTTGGATCCTACCAAGTATCTTCATGTTTTCAGAGCTGAGCATACAGGAAAAGCCACGAAAGGAAGAGAAGTCGTCTTTCCTCACGGTTCAGTTTTGCGGCTAAAACGTGGCTTTTAGTTGCATACAAATTTACTGAAATAAATAAATAGATCAGTTCAGCTAGGCTTTTCCCCAAATACCTTATTTGCTACAGAAATGGCACTGTCATTTTCACAGAAGAAACAGATGCTAACATCTCGTTCCTACCCAAATCAAGACGTAACCCTCTCGCTCATGGCTGACTCGGAGCAGGAATGGCAAGAATACACCAAATGTTTTCATGAAACAAGGTGCTCGAGATCAGAGTCGGCCTCCAGATCAAATGCAGCGAATGCAGTCACAAAGCAGCACTTGGTATTTCTTAAAAACAAGCAGGGCTCCTCCAACGAAACAGATGCAAACGTCTAACCACAGAACCAGCACTGAGCTGACACCAAAGACGGCATCCCACCAACGGGAGCCACAGCTCTGCTGGAAAAACAACATGCAAGTCTGCTCTGTATGGAGGAAACGGCACGGTTCACTAATTCAGCCCTTCTCCTTCAACAAAAACCCCTCATTATGTTCCTACCTGACTCTGCAGCAACTATTTTAGCTATCTGACTCCGAAGGTGACTCAGCTCATCCTGGAGCTCTGTTGTTCGGCTCAGTGCTGGTAAACCAGGTTTCTTCAAGGCGAGCAGCTTCTCCTCCTGCTTCCTCAGGTTGGGGACTGAAGCGTTTCGCTGTATAACGGTGAAGGGACTCGGCTTCCACTTGTGCTTCAGCGGGCGAGTGTCACTTCTACAGGACAAAAACCTGTTGGTCATTTACAAGATCCAGCCCCCTCCGTGACAACAACGCTCGGCAACGCTCTGCCTCCACCTCAGGACAGCAGACTTCAACACAATGAATTAAGCCTCTGTGCCACTACGCTGTACGTACCACTGTATGTACCGCCGTACAGATGCGCTGTGCCGCTGTATGTGCTCTCTCTGCATCACAAGGGACAGAGAGCCTGTGACAGAAATCATGACCCAACGGCACAAGATGTGGTGAGAGGAAGCAGAGACTAAAGCCTGGGCGTGCTCACATGGTTTCAAGTCACTTCTCTCCCGGTAACTGTGCCTCCATGCCGGGCAGTGCGCTGGGTGCACGTGGGAAATGTCACTTACCCATTACCTTTTGCCCCTGATTTCGAAGTCCATTTTATCTTTCACAAGATACCTATTACTATTGCCCTGCTTTAAGGACAAAAGTTCAACTGACCAGAACCAAACTCCTGGGGGAAGAACATTTCAATCCCAGGAGAACTCAACTCTTCAGCTTTCTAACCAGAAAATACCACGGATCAGGGGGGTTTACTCTGCACGGATCTTTCCGTGAGTAAAATACGGCATGGCACGGGCTCTTAGCACTTCCTACAGGAATTCCTCCCAGGGTCCTTTGTCCAATTTTTTTTTCCCCTTGTCTCTTGGGAAAAACGTCTTTCAACAGGCACCGCATCAGACCTCGAGAGGACTGGAAGCTGTGAGCATTTGATCAATGTCTGGCCTACGCTACGTGAAATAAACTAAAATAATAGTTGTTTCATAACTAATATAAAAATGTGAAATAATAGTTATTTCATAACTAATATAAAAATAAGGATCAGCAGACACAAAGAGGAAACCAACCTGACTCTGGCATATGTTTCTTCATCATCTGCTGCTATCCACACAATGTCTGCCAAGGTGGGGACCGGAGGGACGTCATTTAAATAGAGCTCCGAAACGCTCGGTAGAGCCTAAGAAGACGACAGTTACATTAAGGAGAGGGCGGTCCCGTCTCCTGAAGCCGCCCCAGATGTGCTGTCAGAGCCTTTCTCCTCTGCACCAGGTCGGCAGCTGCATCTGTCAGACGTGTGACAGTAACACCATTTGGCTTACGGAAACGCTGCGCTTCCGTGTGTCGGCTTCCGCGCGTGTTTTTGGGTGCGTTGGTGTTACTGTGCTCCGTGAGACTGAACAGCAAGGCAGCGAAGGGATACTCGATACCGCTTAGCTCACTGCCAAGGCCACGTGCAACACTTTGCCACTACAAGTCCCAGCGCTGTCCTTGAGCTTAAACAGTGACGTAAGCGCTTCCGTAAACCTTGTCTTACTGTTTAGGAAATGCAGGCCCAGAGGGCACATGGCTTGCTGGAGGTCACACAACAAAGCACTGGTTCAGCAACTCCATGTTTCTGCCTCCTCTAGCTTGCTAACCCAGTTCATAGGCACTATTCGAGGAGGTATTTTCCTCAAAGTGCCAATGATCACTTTACAACAACAGAATTTAAAAAAAAAAAAAAGGAAATAATAAAAAATCCCTTGAAATTAACTGTACCGCTACGAGTTTTGCGAATACAGCTCTGCAGGCACGTGGCTGGCAGAGCAGCAGCTCGTGACAGTGCTTTGTCTTGCTCAAGAGAGGCGGCTTCCTACACGCGATCACCAAATCCCTCACGAGTCCCCTTACCTCAAAGGTTGCCCTGGGACAGGGTTTTAAAGGGAGGTTTGACCCGATCCTCCTGACAACGCTGCGTGCTGAGCCATGGGGTTTGTTCTGCCAGATGGGGATCGTCTGCAAGAAGCCACGTGAAATCATTAGTATTTCAAATCAGTTGCCCTTCTTAAAATTTATTACATTGGAAATTGTCCTATACAATCTACTCAAGGGCTCTGATCTCTGACTTTTTATTTGTTGAGTGATACTTTTAATTGGGAACCTGCTAATAACTAAGGTCCTCATTCCATAAAACTGTGTTTCAGCTGAACGTACACGAAAGTCAGCCAGTTACTAAGGGGCATTTTAAACACGGGTGTAGCATTTTCAGGACTGAAAACTAGTCAGTAAGTCGGAGTCAGTTACTCAGTAACAGACACTGAGCTCCAAATGAAAACAGGCCAAAAGGAGGAAAACAGCATCACGTGAGGGGCCCAGAAGAAAAATTAAATCAGAAGAAGGTCTCCTTTAAAGGAACGCTCTCGCTTCCACATGATCTTTAATACAAGCAGCACTGATGAGACTGCGAACGCTTCCTGGACGACGGCAAAGTGACAAGTGCATTCAATGCCTATCCCAGCCGGGGGCTGATGAACAGCCTCGGAGGGTGTTGTCAGAAACAGCAGATGTTTCAGCGATCTCTGGATACTTCTGAAAGGGATTCAAAAGGCGAAGTGCTCTGTCCTTTGACCGTCCTCCCCTCTGTCAGTCTGACGGCCGTCACAGGCTCTCGTGACAGGAGGCAGCACAAGGCTCCGGACAGCAAACACCACAATGACAAACCGGAATCCAAACAGGTTATTTCGCTCAGTCCACCAACAAATTCATCACTGTATTTATCGCTGGGGCTTGTTACGCGCACGATGCCTGAACGTCGGTCTTACGCAGCCAAATTTACAATTCCTGATGCGCATTTTAAATCGAATCTCTGAGCTGGCAGTGCGCTGACTGCTGCGACGGCCCTCTGGCTACCAATGACAAACCGGAATCCAAACAGGTTATTTCGCTCAGTCCACCAACAAATTCATCACTGTATTTATCGCTGGGGCTTGTTACGCGCACGATGCCTGAACGTCGGTCTTACGCAGCCAAATTTACAATTCCTGATGCGCATTTTAAATCGAATCTCTGAGCTGGCAGTGCGCTGACTGCTGCGACGGCCCTCTGGCTACGGCAGAGCCGGGGGGCGGGGGG